CTGTGTGTCCCCGGCTGGGAAGGACCCGCGGGGTGTCCCTTCCCCCAGGCTGCCAGCGCAGAGTGTGGGAGTCACCTGCGAACCCCCAAGAGCATTTGGGGTTTGCCCTTTCTAAACCTTAGTTCACCCTACGACCTCCCCCCAGAATGCCTTTTCAGATTTGCCCACTTTCTAGGCCCAGGTCAGACCTCCTCCTTCCACGGGGCCTTCCCTGCTCTCTCCACCCTGTAATGACCGTTCGAGCCTTTGACCTTTCAGGGACAGGATGTGGTTGGGACCGACACTTCTGATTCCTTCCATGTGCCAAGTGCTTTTCTTACGCATACCCTCTAGTTCTCAAGGTTAGGTGGCACTTCCCGGAAGAGGGAACACCTGGCTCAGAGGCCCTCGCCGTCCCCTCCCCTTGGCCGGCACAGGGCGTGCTGGGGAGTTACCCGACTTCATGTCTCATAATCCCAACCGCCTCAGGGGCCCTCAGGACGGATCCAGGCCTTACCCTTGGTTCCAACAGTACCTCACACAGAGGGGAGGAGAGCGTGGGGGAAAGTCACATCAGGTGTTTTTTCTAATTAATAAACTAGTGGCTTTTTTAGAGCAGTTCAGGTTTACAGAAAAATTGAGCTGAAAGCACAGAGTTCCATGTGTCCCTGTTCCCATACAGACAACCTTCCCCACTATCAAGTCCCCCACCAGCGCGGCCCGTTTGTTACAACTGATCACACATCATTCCACCCAAAGCCCATAGTTTACAGCGAGGTTCACGCCTGGTGCTGTACATTCTACGGTTCTGACAACTGTCCAATGACATGTGTCCATCATGAGAGTATCATACAGAGTAGTTCCACTGCCCCAAAAATCCTATGGGCTCCCTTGTCACCTATCCTCCCCCCTCCATCTTTTGATGGCCTTGATAGCTCATTTATTTTTAGCATGGAGCAATATTCCATTGTCTGGATGGACCACAGCTTATTTATCCATTCATCTGCTGAAGGACATCTTGGCGGCCTTCAAGTTTGGGGAATTATAAACAAATCTGCTAAAGACATACGCGTGCAGGTTTTTGTGTGGACGTGAGTTTTCAGTTCCTTGGGGTAAATACCAAGGAGCGCGGTTGCTGGGCCCTGTGATAAGAGTATGTTCAGTTCTGTAAGAAGCCACCAAGCTGTCTTCCAAAGTGGCTGGACCGTGTTTCACTCCCACCAGTGACGCGAGTTCCTGCTGCTCCACATCCTCGCAGCATTTGGTGTTGTCAGTGTTCCAGATTTTGGCCATTCTAACAGGTGTGTACCAACATCCCATTGTTGTTTTAACTTGTGTTTCCCTGACGCCATGTGATGAGGAGCATCTTTTCATATGCTTATTTGCCATCAGCGTATCTTCTTTGGTGAAGTGTCTATTAAGGTCTTTGGACCCTTTTTTAAAATTGGACTGTTGGTTTTCTTGTTGGGCTTTCAGAGTTCTGTGTATGTTTTTGATAACGGTCCTTTATTACACACACACATTAGGTCAGTCCAGGTCCCAGCAGAAAGCAGATGGGACGCTTCCTCCCACTGTCCCATTAGGATGGCATTCTCAAAGGCCTGGGAAAGTGTGATATCACGAGGATGCACCTGCCAGTGCAAAGGACTTCTGTGAGGATATCAGCGTGGCATTGAAACAGCCCTCACGGAAAACAGTAACAGCTGCAAAATGCTGGCGTGCTGGCAAGTCCTGGACTATTGTCTCTGGGCCTGCCCAGGGTAGCATAGCCCACGGTGCATGCCATGCCGCAGGTCCTGAGCTCCCACACATTCACTCTTTTATTCTTTGCAGAGACTCTGCAATGTAGACATTAGTTCGTAAATGCAGAAATGGGTTGAGAGAGGTTTAAAAAACGTGCCCAAGGTCACACAGCTAGTAGATGGCGGTGTTCAGCCCAGCTCATGTCTATCAGGTCCCAGAGGAAGCCACTTTCCAGCCAACACGCGCCTCTCTGGGTGGAACTGAGCTGAGCAATGCGAACAGGCTCAGGCTCGTGGTCTTGCATTTGCTCAGGGGCACCCTTGGGGAGGTGCGTGTCCCCCCATCCTGGGAGTTCTGAGAAGAGGGGGCGTTTGCTAACCGGGAGCTCGCCCAGTCTCCAGGCACTGAGAGGGAGGGAGCACCGGCTGCATAAGGGGGTTGGTTGGAGACCCGGACTCCAGGCTGGCTGTGGGCATGCGCCTCTGGGCACCCTGTTTGCTCCCCTGGCGCCGGGTTCAGGAAGCNGCGGCAACAGGCTCAGGCTCGTGGTCTTGCATTTGCTCAGGGGCACCCTTGGGGAGGTGCGTGTCCCCCCATCCTGGGAGTTCTGAGAAGAGGGGGCGTTTGCTAACCGGGAGCTCGCCCAGTCTCCAGGCACTGAGAGGGAGGGAGCACCGGCTGCATAAGGGGGTTGGTTGGAGACCCGGACTCCAGGCTGGCTGTGGGCATGCGCCTCTGGGCACCCTGTTTGCTCCCCTGGCGCCGGGTTCAGGAAGCGATGCGCTGTCCACACCCCTGGTGCTGAAGCCACAGGCCGTGCACGTTCACCCCGGCTCCCTCCGCCCGGCTGCTGCTCCCCTAAAGCCGTTGTCCTGTGTGGCAGGCTCCTTTGTACACTTGCAGCTGCAGTTTCCTCCACTTCCAATTCTGCTTTTTCTCTTTCAGCGATTCTTCCATGTTAATATACCCCTCCCTGTTGGCTTTCGTCTTATTTCCTTTCCAAAACTGTCTCTTCTGCCATGCCATTCGATTTTTCAGCAGGGAGCCCCTGGACATCACTGGCCGCACAACCTCCTCTCAGAATGATGTAATTAATACCCACCGAAGAAACAATCAACGCACGGTAAGTTTTATTTATAAGGCTCGAACAAACAGGAATATTGGGGGGTTTTCCCCAAGTTTAAATTAACTAATAAAATGGGGTGAGCAGCACAAAGCTGCCTATTTACAAAAGACAAATAAAACTAGAGTAAGTTTTTATTCCAGAATAGGAATAATGACGTACAAAGGGATGATTTTATAAACATTGACCTAAGTCTTTTATACACATGGACTTTTTCCTTAGGGGAGGAAAGACGGGCATTCATTCTTTGGCATCAGCTTTTAAAATAATTTCATGTTATCCACGAGAGTGCTTATAAGTGTCTAAGGTGGATACATAAAAATGCATTCTGGTGATTCTTTTTTTAAGTATCATTAAACTTCTCCTTTGGTTACAGGCCACTCTGAAAGCAGTGTGGTGTGGGGAAAACGGACTCTGGGGTCCAGAATCCAGCAGCNAAGTATCATTAAACTTCTCCTTCGGTTACAGGCCACTCTGAAAGCAGTGTGGTGTGGGGAAAACGGACTCTGGGGTCCAGAATCCAGCAGCAGGACCCGGACTTTCGCCCCTTTCCAGCTCTGTCATCTTGGTGACGTGCACTCATTGCATCTCCACCTTCTCATCTTTCAAATGGGAAAATAATTCCACCCACACCAGCTGTGGGAAAGNGGGTCCAGAATCCAGCAGCGGGACCCAGACTTTCGCCCCTTTCCAGCTCTGTCATCTTGGTGACGTGCACTCATTGCATCTCCACCTTCTCATCTTTCAAATGGGAAAATAATTCCACCCACACCAGCTGTGGGAAAGATTCATCAAGATCGCAACTGTGAAAGCATGTGGCCCAGTGCCTGGCCTGTAGGTAGTTGCTTTGAGATGCTGGTTTAAAAAACATTCTGGCCCTGGCCTGGGAGGCTCAGCTGGTTGGACCTCATCCCGTCCACTGAAAGGTTGTCGGTTTGATTCCTGGTCAGGGCATGTGCCCAGGTTGGCTCAGTCCCTAGGAGGGGGCATGCAAGAGGCAGCCAATCAATGTTCCACTCTCACATCAATGTTTCTCTCTCCCTCTCCCTTCCTCTCTCTCTAAAATCAATTTTTAAAATATTTTAAAAGNCACCGAAGAAACAATCAACGCACGGTAAGTTTTATTTATAAGGCTCGAACAAACAGGAATATTGGGGGGTTTTCCCCAAGTTTAAATTAACTAATAAAATGGGGTGAGCAGCACAAAGCTGCCTATTTACAAAAGACAAATAAAACTAGAGTAAGTTTTTATTCCAGAATAGGAATAATGACGTACAAAGGGATGATTTTATAAACATTGACCTAAGTCTTTTATACACATGGACTTTTTCCTTAGGGGAGGAAAGACGGGCATTCATTCTTTGGCATCAGCTTTTAAAATAATTTCATGTTATCCACGAGAGTGCTTATAAGTGTCTAAGGTGGATACATAAAAATGCATTCTGGTGATTCTTTAAGTATCATTAAACTTCTCCTTCGGTTACAGGCCACTCTGAAAGCAGTGTGGTGTGGGGAAAACGGACTCTGGGGTCCAGAATCCAGCAGCAGGACCCAGACTTTCGCCCCTTTCCAGCTCTGTCATCTTGGTGACGTGCACTCATTGCATCTCCACCTTCTCATCTTTCAAATGGGAAAATAATTCCACCCACACCAGCTGTGGGAAAGATTCATCAAGATCGCAACTGTGAAAGCATGTGGCCCAGTGCCTGGCCTGTAGGTAGTTGCTTTGAGATGCTGGTTTAAAAAACATTCTGGCCCTGGCCTGGGAGGCTCAGCTGGTTGGACCTCATCCCGTCCACTGAAAGGTTGTCGGTTTGATTCCTGGTCAGGGCATGTGCCCAGGTTGGCTCAGTCCCTAGGAGGGGGCATGCAAGAGGCAGCCAATCAATGTTCCACTCTCACATCAATGTTTCTCTCTCCCTCTCCCTTCCTCTCTCTCTAAAATCAATTTTTAAAATATTTTAAAAGAAGTCTGGCAGGCAAGTGAAATTGTATCATGGAATCCCTGCCATCATCTCTGGCCTGTGTGGCTGTCGGTTGGGCATCCGCCAGTGCGCAAAAGGTCACCCAGTTAGATTCCCGGTCAGGGCACATTCCCGGGTTTTGGCTCAATCCCCAGTAGGGGCCATGCAGGAGGCAGCCAACTGATCAATGTTTCTCTCTCACATTGATCTTTCTTTCCCCTTCCTTCTCTCTCTAAAATCAAGAAAAACATTTTAAAAAGAAGACAAGCTATGTAAAGAACTGAAAACCGAGCTTCAATAAATTATGGTGAGAAGTCCACTTCTTATCAAGCTGTTTACACATCACTTTGGTTGTTTTTATTGTTGTTTCAAGGAAGCCATCTGGTCCCCTTTCCTTTGTAAGGCAGATTCTGTTTCTTAAGGTCAAGCTCTGTAACCAAATTCCTTTCCTGAAATCCTTTTGGTTTTAAAGTTTCTTCTCACTTTTGCCCTTTCAAGAGGTAGGGTATTTACCCTAAACTATTCTAATGGAATCATATCTGCTCTGAAGTAAAACAATTTGTTCTACTTTATTCAAGCTGATACCTCTGGGCTCTTTTTAAAAAGCACCCTTCTAGGCAATTACATAATTTTTATTCCGTGACCCACTTTGTTTTTTCTTCATCGCCAGCCTTTATGGTTAAAATGTTCTTTTGGACTACTGCTTTGTAGTAGACGATACGGAAACCTACACCGCTCAAGTCGTATCCATCGCCTGAGATATTGGCACCTCTAAGATGACCCAAGAGATTCAGAACTAAGAGAAAAGTCAAGTGCGTCCATGGAAGCATATGGATGGCATGACAGTCAGCAAAACTTTGTTCTTTGTGAAATGGACTTGGACATAGCCCAGGGCAATGCGGCCGGCCCAAGACTCGGGAGGCTGGGTCTGAGTTCCTGCTCGCCACCCGCTGACCCGTCCCTCTCCGTAAGTCTCCGTCACCTCTGGGGCCTGGGTCCCTGGCGCGCAAAATGAGGGGTTTGCACAAGACAGCCTCTGGGCCCCGTTTCAGTTCAAACACACCGTGGTTCTAATTCTTCCTTTAGCCTCAACAGCATGAGGTTCTGACAGCTCCCCTCTTCTTGAAAAACCTGCTGGTGGGTCCTTCAGATGTGTCGTCCCGTCAGAAAAAAGAGCGGTCGGTCCTCCTTGGCGTTGGCAGTCTGGAACTCGTCGCGCAGTCGGAACTGCCACTCGTCTTCCAGCTCCAGGCGGACCACCGTCTGGCGGAGTGAGTTCCGGTCCTGGCAGATCACACACAAGGTGGCACCTGCACAACAGGCAATGGCAGAGGTGTGGGAAGAAAACAGGTGAGCTTATCTGACTAAAACCTACTGCCTGGGTTCTGCTTGAAAAAAATGCAATGCTGCCTCCATGGAAGGGAAGGACCAGATGTCCAGTGACCTCGCTTCTTTCAGAATGCTTCCTAATCTTAGCAAGACAGACACTGCGATGCGACCGACGGGCAGGTCTGGCAGGTGAGAGAACACGGAGGCAGAAGAGATGCTGACAAGGAAGGGAACAGAGAAGGGGAACTGGGAAGGCACACGGGTCGGATCGGGAACCGAGCTTTCTCAGCTGCAGCCCTGGGTGTGGAGTGGCCAGCTGACCACCTCAAGGCCCAGCCCCACCTTCTTCTCCCACTCAAGGTGACCTCCCATCCAGGCCGATGCAGCTCCCACCTCTCCCCACCTGTCCAACCAGGTGAGTTTTCCCTCCTCCTGAATCCTAACATAGTCAAGACATGATTCACATCCACTCATTCATTCATATTCATTCACCCGTTCACTGTGTCGCTCTGGCTGCCTCTCCACTACCTCCCTCCCTTCCTACCTTCTTACCTACATGTCCTATCCTCCCNATCCACTCATTCATTCATATTCATTCACCCACTACCTCCCTCCCTTCCTACCTTCTTACCTACATGTCCTATCCTCCCGCTAGACAAATGTTTCCCAAGGGCAGAGACTGTAGAAGCCTCTCCCTATCCCCAAGGCCTTCTACTGCGTGGTGCTCAGTAAATACCTGCGAGACAAGGTCAGAGCGAAGAGCAACCCGAGGAAAAGGGCACATTGGTTAGGGACCCCAGCAGGGCTGGAAATCATTTTTTTAAGTCATACAGATGAATGTTTGTCACTCTGAACTACTCTAGCAAGAAGCATGCAGCGTCTGAAAGGGGCGAGAGAGCTCGTCTACCCGGAGGAAGAAGCATCTGTGGGGAACTGGGTGCTGGTGTTAAGAACTGGACTGAAAAGGAACACAAAAGCTGAACATATCTGCTGTTTGCCTAAACCAAAGGGGATGCGTCTTGTCTCGACCCAAACAGGAATGGGGGAAAGAGCTGCCCTAGAGTCCCATCCTGTACTTTCCTGGTGGTTATGTTCCCCCTCTGAGCCTCAACGTACCCACACGACCAGGAGTCACCCCCTCGGAGGCACCAGGTCACGACAGCATCCAAGTCAAGGTGCAGGGATAAGAGGATGGGAAGTTACCTTTCAGAAAATGAAACTTTTTCAAAAAACCAGCTCCCACGAACGAGTCACAGAGGTAGAGCAGGAGTCCACTAAACATGAAGTCAGAGCAGCTGATGTTTAGGGAGTGGGGCCTGGAGCTCACGTAACACACAGAAATCTGAAACGAGAGGGGAGCCCGGAGAAAAATCATCGCTTTCCGTGAAATACTCAGCAACGCTGGGCTAGGGCTTTGCATCTAAGATGCTAATTGCCTGGTCAAGCTCAAGTATTGTTTTGGGGGGCCAGAAACAATATTTTTGTGTTATTTCCAAATCTACATCCTAAAAATATCAATTCCAAGAGATTTACCCAGATTTATCTGTTTGTTAACTCATCGGAGAATCAGAAATGCTTTGGCCTCACAATTGGGCTCGATTCCTCGCGTATCATATTGGGGCAAGCAAAGCGTCTAAATTCTCTCAGCCTTTGTTTTATCGGCTGTAAAATGGGGTAAATGCCTGAGACGAAGGTGTTTCGTTACAATTCGAGTCCTAGGTTCTGACGCACTTGTCTGAGGCATTTCTCGGAGCGACGGACCCTGTGAGTTACCTGAGATCCCAGATTCAGGTAGCAGTCGACCAACAGCACGGGGTGGCCTTGGTTCCTCAGGGACAGCGGGAAGAAGCGGTGGCTGTGCTGCTGGAGGAACTTCTCCAGCAGAAGCTGCGCAGGGGCCGCCAGGAACGGGTGCTTGCTGTCCGGAGCGCAGATGTACTGGGCGGGCACGATCGCCACGGGGCTGTCAGACACCTGCGCGGGGAAGGACAGGCGTCAGCCACTGACAGCCACTGGAGCAGAGACGTTCTCCCAGGGTTTCCGGGCTGCGTGGGAACCCAGGCTGAGTGGCCCTGTCATGGAAGACTGTTAGGTTTGATCCAAGGGGGACATGTGACAACTGATCCGTGTGATCAGTAAAAATCTAGTGGATAGAAAAGCTGTGGTACATCTGCACAATGGAATCCTACGCAGCTATGAAACGGAAGGCTCCCTTACCCTTTGGGACAGCATGGGGGGGACCGGGAGAGTATTACGCTGAGCGAAATAAGCCCGTCAGAGAAAGACAAGCATCACATGATCTCACTTATATGTGGAACCTAATGAACAAAATAAACTGATGAACAAAATAGATCCGGAGGCATGGAAGCATGGAACAGGCTGAGGGGTAAAATGGAAGGGGGATGGTGGAATTAACCAAAGAACTTATGTGCATATATATATGCATAACCCATGGATTCTGACAATAGTGAGGTGAAGGCCTGGGGGGGCAGGGGCAATAGGGAAAAGGGGGGCATCTATAATACTTTCAACAATAAAGATAAATTTTTTTAAAAATGATAGACATTGATCTTTCCATGTAGAAAACTGGCTGTCTGGTCTAGAAAAAACACAAGAGAATCAATTATCTTGGGTACACTTCCCCTAATCCAGGATGCAAACCTCAGGGCATGGTCAGCCTCCCCTTACCCCTGGATGCCACCCACGCCCACTGCCCTTCCTCTCAACTGCCCCCCACTGAGCCCACCATCTCTTATTCCATCACCACACGAGCGAGCACCGAGTGCAGTGACGGACATGTGTGCGGGGCCCACCCGGAGAGGGCGGGTGGCAGGCGGGCGGGCAGGCNGGATGTGCACCAACCACACTCAGCTGGAAACCGTTACAAACACCACCCAGCAGTCCAGCCCGCCCACTGGCTCGAAGGCGACCCCGTGGCCCCCTGCCAGCTCCCACCTCCGTTTTCGCACCACGAGCGGCAGCCCCAGCGGGGCACATGCCTGCGTGGCCCGTGGCCCACCCACCTTGGAGGTGATATGGAAGGACCGGTGCCCGCCCACCGCGATCTGCTTCTTCATCACGCTGAAGCGGTTGAACCGGCAGAGCAGGAGGCCGGCGCTGTGCACCCGCAGGTTGAAGTCCACGTCGTCGCACAGGAACCTGCTCGGAACCAGAGGAGGGGACAGGTCCCATCGGATGCCGCTCACACGCCCAGTCACACCCTACCTGCCCCAGGCACGTGGAGCGTGCACCCCTGCGCTGGAGACGGGCAGGCTCATTCCTGCCCCACAGACCCTCCGCTCGGAAGGCACGGAGGCGGAACAAACAAGAAAACGGGGCAGGCTGTGGTGCGTCCGCACCAGGGTTCCTAAGGCATGACCTCCAGCAGGACGGTCCTCTGTGGGCCACACAGGCACGCTGTGGGGACATCACAGACACCCTCTCATCTGTTTGTTAAAAAGAAAAAACAAACCGCCCAGGGTGGGGGAAAAAAAAAGCCACTTTTTCCAGCTGAGGGAAACAGGCTCAGAGCAAAGCCGGCAAGCGGCAGGACCCAGACTCCTAGCAGGGGGGTCTGGCTCCGAAACCCACACTGCTGCCCGGGCCACCTGGGGCGCGCGCCCGCAGCCGGGCACAGGGATGCGCCGGCGACGGGGCTCTGCTCGAGGTGTGAGCCCTTCGTGGGTGGGTACGTAGAAAGCAACATATGGGAACTACTTCACAGTTCCCTTCAGTGCTAACCTCTTGCGAAGCTGTGTGTTCAGAGAGGAAGCCAAAGACGCAAGAGAAAACACAGAACCTGAGTCACTACACAGAGCACCGTGTGAATCCACGAAGGAAGTTGAATTATCTTATGCAAATCTCCCCTCCACGATATCATACAATAAAAGGAAGGGAAGGGAAGGGGAAAGGGGGAAAAAGGGGGAAAAAAGGGGAAAAAGGGGAAAAAAGGGAAAAAGGGAAAGGGAAGGGAAGGGAAGGGAAAACGTTAAGCTGAAGGCAGGGCCAGGCTGATGCTACGGGCGGGAGCCTCTGGTGCCTGCGGCCTGCAGGGCGGTGAGAGGCAGCCATCCCGCCCGTCCGCCAGGCCTAAGCTGCCCCTGGCTGGGGGCTGGGGGCTGGGGGCCGGGGTC